TTGACGCTTCTATTCTTTTCTTTATATTCAAAGTCTTGAGATTTGAATTGGAATAAATTGTACGAATATTCTTAGATTTAAATACATATTTACATACATACATACATACATATATAATCTACCTTTCATTGAAACTATTTATTTTAAGTATTTTATGAAGTCGACTATAGTTGATAATTAAATCATACTTAATCAGCTTTGCCTACAATGTAGCTGTTGTCTTGTTTATGATCTTAAGTGCTCAAAAGAGATTGAATAAAATTACTATCACAATAATAATACAAAGTAGGCTCTAATTTAATTACACTAATAGACAAATACTCTGACTTTTTACTTGGCTTTATATAGTGCACATAGGCAGGGCTTTAACTTTGTATAGAGCTCGAGTATAATATACATAATACATATAAATATCTGCAATATTGATATGTCTATATATATCTAATATATATCAATATCTGTAATATTGATATATCTATATATATCTAATATATATCAATATCTCTGCCTCTCTCGTTTTTTATACTTATTTCGCTCTTATCTCTGTATCTAATATATATAAATTAGTAAATATTAGCAAATATTTAGTATGGAAATATTATTACCCTATAATCCGGCTATAACGATTCGCAAGGGATTGTCAGAAGACGCTATAGCTCTATAAGTTTACTCATAAAAGTTTGTGTGGGGACCAGAATTTTCTTCAAAATAATCGTACGGACACTATAAGTGGAGTCTTTATAGCCGGAATCTACTATATATTGCAAAATTTGATCATCCCTTAGATCGTTTTCCTTCACACTTGTCGCGTTGACCTTTGTGTAGCGCATCTGTTCATTTTGCAATATTAAATAAGTTTTGCCAATATATAACATATATCAATATTGCTGTCTCTCTCTCTCTCTTTTTCTCCTTCTCTATTGTACTTTTCTTCTCAGCTCTGTATCTTATTGATAAATATATTTAAATTTGTCATCTTATAGATCATTTACCTTCACACTTGTCACGTTTTACCCCTTTGTAGAGCATCAGCAAGTCGATCATTTTGTCCACATTTAATAAGCTCTGGCAACATTGTTGCCAACTTCAAGCACAACTGCTGTCAATAATGACCAGCTAGTCAGTCGACTGAGTGTTTCTGCTATATGGCTAATAAAGTATTCGCTTAAACCGATTTTAATTTCAAATTGACTCATTAGGCAGCCGTATCGCTCTTGCTCTCGCTCCCTCTCTCCCCTTCCACTCCTTCTCGCTGTCTCTCTCTGTGTATAGAGTTGTAGTGCTATGTATGCTTACCCACCCGGAAAGAGACCTCGCGCAAAACATAATAATCAAGCATAAACTGCACTTAGACTGGAGACCGAAGACTGAAGACTGAAGAGAGAACATTCAGGACTTGGTTTGTGAGCTGTTATTTAGTTGCAGTTGCAGTTGCAGTTGTTGTTGTTGTTGTTTCTGCTGACCATAAGTGTATGTGTATGTGTGCAGTCGGTGTCCACGGGCTGGGCCACGTTGATTAAAAAGCAAGTGCACGAGGCGCATTCGCCGGTTGCTTAATTGTAAATTGGTGCGCGTTTTGCAGCGGGCTGAATTATAATTTCATGTTCACAAGCACATTTGCACGCACTGTAATTTACTTAAGCATTCTGCCGCTATCCATATAATCACCAGCTGCCTGACTGCCTGACTGCCCGTCCCTCCCTCCGTCTCACTCTCTCTGCCTTTCGGACTGTGCGAAACTCATAATTTAGCTGACACGCCCATTAACAACAGCCCCGATCCGAGCAAGAGCAACAGCAACAGCAACTGCCTCAGCCAGCAGCCAGTGGATGGAGCCTTTGTTGGGTGGCATCGCGTCAGTTGCTCCATCAACAACAGCGCAACGTGCCGACACAATATAAATTATATATAACATGCATTAGCGCATCTTCAGGCACTGAGCAGGCTCCACTCACAGAGTGAGAGAGAGAGAGAGACGGGGGGCAGCTAGTGACTTCACTGATCGAGTCACGCACCTTTCGCTGCGTGAAGCCACGGGGCTGGCAGCTCCCATTACAAGTTACGGATGTGAGCAAATAGTTGGACATACCTCTCTAGTCGGACTCTGAAGCAGGTTCCTCCATCTAGATAATACTATATGTTTAATGTAGGTTTTTACTAAAATTCCTTAAACATAACATTCATTCTGGAGCCATTGTCTGAAGTTATGTTGCCTGTGTAATCAAATGCTTGTATTAATTGAACAGGGAGTACATTGAGCTTTTCTTGGGTTACACTGTATTAGGTTGATTTTCACTTAATTTTACATCCACTATTGCTTTGGAACCATTTATATATATCGAAAATATATTAATTGTAAAATCGAATAATTGAAAATCGAATAAATTCGAAGTTCTTGAAATTCGTTCTCCATAATTCTCCATAACTAGATTAAAAAAAAAAAAAAAAAAAAAAAAAAAAAAAAAAAAAAATGTACCCTTGCCATTTTGAATTGTAATTGCAGTGGTTCACAGCTTGTTTGACCCACCATAAAATATAAAATTCAACTGTTCATAACTAGGAAGTAAATAGAAATTTTAAAAAATTTTTAATTATTTTTATTATCAATATATAATACCAACATATAATAGTTAGTCACAAGCTACTAGTGTTACTCTTATTAAATCCATATTATGTTTAGTGAGCCCTAACGGTCCTCTATTTATATATATATATATATATATACCTCATGAGTATTTCTTTCTGCCTCTCTAACAATTCTTAAAAGTTAAGTATTTTAAAATATTTTTTCATAATACTTCAGAGCTAAAAAAGTTGCAAATTTTTTTTTGGCAGTTGTAATTAGCAAAACCTGAATAAGCACTCTATATGGCGCTGGTTAGAGGATATATATAGCATAGCTATGTTTGCTACAATTGAACAATTCATCCCTATTTTTTTTTAGAAGTATTTCGCCATGAAAAAACTTGGCATAATCTGTGCAAAAAATATTCTAGCCAGATGCCGCAGAGCAAAACAAAAACAGAACCTCAAGCTGCAAATGGGAAAACATCCGAATATTTGCTGCAGAGCCTCGGGTAAATTGGCAAAATATGCAATATTTGACATGGAGTTTGCGGTTGGAATCAGAGAGCCCACGGCGTGCACAATTGACTGTCGAAAGGTCGGCGGGCAAATCAACTGGATGTCAATCAGCGTATCAAACACACAGCTGTTATACTGGAGGCAATAGAAACAACAATTGAATATTTGTGGGAGGCAAAAGCCCGTGCGATGGGGAAACTTTATTTGGTTTAAGCTGTGGACTGGAATGGGGATTGGATTAGCGTGTAAAGTCGCCGCACTTGAAGCATTTGCATTCAGTGGGCTCCCGCAGGCGAATGTCCATGGTGGCCATCTCGGGGGATGAGAGGCGAGTGCCGTCCGGATCGTAGCAGTGGGTCAGCGTGATGACCTTCTCCTTGAGGAAGCTTTCGCGGCAGCAATAGCACTCCTGAGGAGAGAGTTAAAGCGAGAGAGAGAGAGAGGGAGTAGGAGGGAGAATCGGGAATTTCAATCGATATACTCACTTTCAGAAACCCCGTCGGAGTTATCACCGAGGGCTGCACCTGGCTGTTGCAGAGGCCCTCGCACTTGTTGACTATGACGTCGGCGTTGCAGGTGCGCTGCATGCGGCCCAGCTCGTCGAACTCCTCCTTGATCAGGTGAATCTCGGACTTGAGAGTCTCGCAGTTCTCGTCGCCGGTGCCCTGGCTGTAGCGCAACGCCCTCGGGCATTGGGGCAGGACCACTGCGACGGCGACCAATAGCAATTCCTGGAGATGCATCCTCGACGGCTTCACACTTGACTGTTGACCCTGGCCCACGCGGCTGCCGCTTTTATAGAGCTGCCCAGTGCCGGGTCACAGTTGCAATTCGATTTGATGGGCTCGCCGAATGAATTATATGCGACTCTCTGATGGAATGTTTGTGTTACACGCCGCAGTGGGTCCCAGTGGAAAGTGGGCTAAGTTGCGGTAGGACTGAATGACCATGTAATCAGCCGCTGATGTCGATGGCGATGTCGATGTTGTGTTCTCTCGTTAATTGGTGCTTAAATCAAATGACTGGGCTATAACTTGCAAATGAAGCAGAGCTGTGAAATCGAGTGAAGTACAAAAAATAGCCAGGAATAGATTTAAATAATTCCCAAATTAGAATACTCCATAAGAATATTTTTATATGAGCTTTAAATGTTTTTGTTGATTGATTATATTTATTTATAT